CTTTTCATTTCGACTTTGACCTCCAAAGTCGAAACATTTCGACTTTTGGGTTTTCATTTCGACTTCATGTATAGTGAATACTGTCTAAAATATTAAAAAAATTTTTCAAAAATATTAACCTTTTAAAAAATTTTGGACTAATAAACGTATTTTCTTAGGTCTCATTAAATTTTCATAGTCCGAAAACAACCTTTTGCTTGGAGTTGAAGTAGCTGAAACTGAAAGATAAGCATGTGCTAATTCACTAATTATTGGAAACTTTTTCTTTGTTAATTCTCCATCAAGAAAAAGGGTCCAAATTAAATGGAATTTATGGAATTGCAAGATATTCATCAAGTTTACTTTGATTATTATTAGGTGATGAACAATCAAAAATATTAAAAAGAATTAATTGAGAGAGGGTGTAGAACCAAGAAAAGGAATAGTAGTTAAACTAGATGAAGGTAAAGAAGGTTGAGTATATAATGATATACTAAATTTCATTTCATTATATTTGTCTTATAAAGAATATTGGATTGGTCTCAGTTAGTGATATCTGACGAAATTACCTTTCTTAATATGATAAAATTGACAAAACTGAAATGACAAAACTAGTTTTTTATTAATGATGAAATTATTTTACTTAATTGCCGAAATTATATTTAACTTGATCTAAATTCCTTGAATTAAAATACATTAAAAAATATAATAATTTTATATTTATTCATATAAAAATATTGAAGAAACGAAACTTTTGACGAAATTATAATTTTTCAAAAAAGAGTTTAGTCAGGTATCACTAGTCTTAGTTCATTAGGTACAAAGTCGAGTTTTTTGATTTGAGGGTCAAGAATAAATGGTAGATATGATATTATGTAATCTTTTTTTCAATAAAAAAGTATTATATAATATAAAGTTATTTTTACTTCTTCTAAAACTCCCGATATCTGCATTGGCCTATTTAAATTAATTTTATTATTATTATTATTAGTATTATCTGGATTGTCTTGATTCTCATCCCATACAAAAATATCTTCAATCTTCTTAATATTAATATTTGTTGTATTTGATTCATATTCGGGCTTGAGATTATTAATAATTTCGGCTATTAAAGGTTTTATTATACTATGAGTAGAATAATTATTACCTTCAAGATATTTGGTTGTTTTCTCAAAAGGTTCTAAAATTGGAATCAAATCACGAAGTAAGTATTCATTATTTGTTAATATTATTTTAGATAGCCATTGAGAATCCTTTTTAGAATCCTGATCAACTTCCTCAACCAAATTAGCTTCAAGTGTATAAATATAACCTTTTAATTTTAAAGTCGACACTAAGCTAAGTAGCTAGAATTCCAACAGGTAGATATATCGGCAATAACATGTTTCAAGTATTTTGCAGATTTTCAGCAGACTAATTAATAAATAAATATTTTTTTAATTAATTCAATTAACAAAATAAAAAATATATATTTTTACTTACTATAGGTATTCTTGAAGGTTCAGAATTCCAATAATTCGTAAAATTATAAAATTAGAATATTTATTAATAAATTATTTTTATATTTAATAATTTAAATATAATATAA